ATATTCTATTCTATTATATTCTATTCTATACATATCATCATGAGATGAAGTGTTATATACAGACTCAGTTCCGAGGCCATTCGGTAGGTAGAAGACTAATGAAATGGTTGCATAATCCAAAAATATGGTTGCATAGTCCAACATTGCATAGTCCAAAATTTAACCGCCTCTGTGGTCTAGTGGTAAGACCACCTGCTTCAGACGCAGAGGTCCTGGGTTCGATTCCCAGTGGTGGCAGATTTTCATGTTCGGTTTGGTTGGTGGTAGGGCTTGTTCTAAGCCCGCCTGGCTTGCTACCACCATCTTACCTAAGTCTGTCGCCATAGCAACAATGTTAACAGCATTGTTGTGTTCCGACAGTTAGAGGTAAGATAGCCAGTTCCTCCGTGGTTGAGGATTCCGGGTGAAGCTCGCTTCCACCTTCGGCCTGAGCATCACTTACCATCAGGTGAGATACATGCCAAGAGCTTCCTCGTTGTGGATAAAAAAAAATGTGGCAAATTAAAGTGTCTATGGGATGGGTCGATCACATAAGTTACGGGACTATTCCCACCTCTCGTTTCCACCGCTACAACTCCTGTGTAGCCAGGATCTACTCTACAGCTTGACCGCCAAGTGAAGGTCAAGTTTGTCCCGGGGAGTTTAAAAGTAGAAGTCAATAACTGCCATATCCTACCAACCTTCTTCCTGGTCGCTCTAACCACGCCCACTCGTAAGCCCCGCCCACCAAAGTGGGCGTGTCACACACCATACAGATAGCACACGTCTGAGCACTTCCTAACTTGTCTAAACTAGCTTCCCTTTGTCGCAATATTGTGATACTAGCTTTCCGCCCGCGGCTTCGCCCGCGTGGAATTTTGTCTGTCACAGAAAAACTTTATCGCGCGCGTCCCTGTTTCAAAAACCGGGATAAAAACTATCCTATGTCTTTTCGCGGGACTCAAACTATCTCTATGCCAAATTTCATCAAAATCGGTTCAGTGGTTTAGGCGTGAAAGCAAGACAGACAGAGTTACTTTCGCATTTATAATATTAGTATAGATTAGTATACATAGAAACTCGCTTCCACCTTCGACCTGATCATCACTTACCATCAGGTGAGATACAGGCCAAGAGCTTCCTCGTTGTGGATAAAAAAAAAATAAAAAATATATAGATACCTAGTATAGATTTGGCTTCTGAAATGAAATACAGAAGTTACAGGAAAAAAATTTAAACACTCGTTTGTTTCAGCCAAATTACGTCCAATACTGGACAAAGGCCTCCCCAAGGATTTTCATAAAGACCCCGTATCCCGCGACCTTCACCAGATCGTCGGTCCACCTAGTAGGAGACCTGCCCAAACTACGTCTTCCGGCCCATGGTCGCTCGAGAATTTTTCTGCTCTAGCGGCCATCAGCTCTACGAGCTATGTGTCCTGCCCTTTTAATTTCAAAACTATCAAGCAAGGTTTCTTATAGGTTCTCACGCCCGTATTCACAAACTATGCTTGCTTAAGTGAAGCAGCAATTCGGACGCACAACGTTGAATAGAGCATAGAGTAAGTGTGCTTTTTTAAAGCCTACTTACAGAAATAAATGAGTTTTACTGAGTTTTTAGAGCTCGATGATTGATTCTTGTGTGACCCTGTGCGTCCACGCGCACTGTGAGACCTCATAGTAATGTTTGTGAGGGCGTCAGTGTAACTAGAGTCAAAGAAGTCCTGGAATACAAATACTATACAGGGTGTACAGTACAGAGTTTAACAGGGTGTAGCAAGCTAATTATTGGAAATCTTTGAATGAATCTATACTTCTATACCTTGGACGAATAAACCACTGGACGCGTAACGAGTGACGTTTTCGTCTTTACCCCGCTAGCACTTACCAAGGCTAAATTAGCCATGGTAAATTTTGTCAGGTTGTCACTTTGGTAAAAATATCACGAAAAATGGGTAAATGCGCCGTACTTTATTGCAAAAATTATTCCGGTCACACAAGAAATGTTTCTTATCACGCGTAAGTACATTTTAAATCTATTATAGTAGCTATTTTTTCGTAAAATAAATAAAATTTGATATGTAAACAAAATATGATTACGTCATTTTAAAAAGTACTCATTGTACATGTAAATGCTTAAAACATGTAGCATATTTAATTTGGTTGGATTATAGGTTTCATTCATTCATTCACATCTCATTTTTTATGACGTAAAGGGCTTGAAAAATGTCGATAAGTTTATCGATATACCAAACAAACTGAAACTGAAATTATTCAAATTAATTTAAGATTTCCAGTGGATCCAAATAGAAGGAGAAAGTGGATAGAGGCAGTCAGAAGACAAAATACGTGGATTCCAACTAAAAACCACTGCATGTGTAGCATTCATTTTGCGGAAGAATGCTACAATGCCAATTCTACGAAACAGAGAAAACTGCACAAAGATTCTTTACCTACATTGAATTTGCCTAAATTTGTAAGTACAATCATCATCAAATTTTATTAGATATTTTATCTTAAAAGTCAACTAATTCACCAAAATACCAGTAGACACAAAACATTTATGGTTCAAATTGTGTAACTGGTAGGGCTCAAAAGATAAGGAGACATATAAAGTGCCCTGAAGGGCTACCTTTTTTAGGGTTCCGTAGTCCTGACAAGGAACCCTTAGAGTTTTGCTATGTCTGAAATGAAACTATTGGCACTAGAGAGCTGTAATTTTGTGGAGGTATGTATATTAATCACGCTGATAAAACAGTAAGATAAAATTTTGAAAAAAAAAATTACGGTAGCTAGTTGCTTTACATCTAGGGGTAGGTACATGTAAAGTGGGGGTGAATTTTTTTTATCTTCTACCTCATCATGTGGGATATCGTTGGACAGGTCTTTTAAAATTGCTTAGGGGTTTCTAAGGCTATTTTTCCATTTAGAGATCTGTTTGCAAATTATTAAAGTTTAAAGTGCCAATTTTTTTTCGAGTCCCCTCTAAAAACTAAACCGTTAGCTTGAAAAATCTGGGAAAATTCATAATAATAATTTATTTTATGAACTTTCAAGGAAAACTATAACGGTTAAGATACATCAGTTAGTTTAGTAGTAATAGTCATTTGACTCATGTATTATACTTAACTAATAAAAATTCCTTAGAAGAAAATACAAAAAGTTACTTTACTAATTAATAATTAAAGATTTATTATTTTATTAAATTTAATTAAAGAAACTTTCAATAATAAATCAATCCATAATTCATTTATCTCGTTAGGTTCATTCATTCATTCATTTACATAACTATCGATAAAAATTTACGATCTTTTCCCAGCACTAAATGTCATTATTTGACAATTGTCAAACCTCTCCCCCCGCAAACAGTGGTTGATCGTGTTTCCTTAGAAATCTTGTAGGTTTCGTGTCCAGTGGTTTATTCGTCCAAGTTCTATACTAATATTATAAATGCGAAAGTAACTCTTGTCTGTCTGTCTTGCTATCACGCCTAAACCACTAAACCGATTTTGATGAAATTTGGCAGAGAGATAGTTTGAGTTCCGGGAAAGGACATAGGATAGTTTTTATCTCGGTTTTAGAAACAGGGACGCGCGCGATAAAGTTTTTCTGTGACAGACAAAAGCCATAAGGTACACACGACAGCACATCAAGCTACCCTTTTTTGTTGCATACTCGCCCCTATTACAACTGCACAAGAACCCGCAGTGGTTACGTTGACGTGCCGTCGTCCGTACATAAAGTTTTGTTTAAATAAAACACGAATAATTACAGTTTTGTTTCTCACATTCCTAAAGCGAGCTCTTTGTGAAAGTTTTTCGTAATGAATGTTTAGTCGCACAAAAGTTATAAAAGAACGATAATGAAACCACAGCTGTATTATTTCCAACGCATAACTTTTGCCCGTGGCTTTGCCTGCGTGATTTCGGTCTAAAAACAAGAAGTTGTCGCTCGATTGCCCCACTTATAAAAACCGGGGCAAAATATACTATCTTTTATTTTGGATCTCAAACATTCTTTATACAATACTAGCTTTCCGCCAGCGGCTTCCCCCGCGTGGAATTTTGTCTGTCACAGAAAAACTTTATCGCGCGCGTCCCTTTTTCAAAAACCGGTATAAAAACTATCCTACGTCCTTTCCCGGAACTCCAACTATCTCTATTTCATCAAAATAATCAAAATCAAAATCATCAGTAAATCAAAATAACGTTCCTTCATTAAAATTTGCATATACATTATTCGGTACAGTAAGTAATATTTGAGTCAAATTGACTGAATTTGACAGTAAATGACCGGTCATTATGGTTTTTGGTCAGGATTCAGTAAATTATTATATCTTTAATCACGTGTCACAACAAGAATTTTTATTTAGAAATTTTAATGTACCTATTTACTTAAGTATGACACATTGTCCTTCCTAAAACGTTACACAGCTGTTTCTATTCCGAAAATACGCAAAAACCTGGTTTAATTGGAGTTGAATAGGTTAAAAACAATGAGTTAGTTTGTACAGTTGTACTAATCTATACTTACTAATATTATAAAGCTAAAGAGTGTGTTTGTTCGCTTGAGCGCTGTAATCTCAGGTTAGGAATAATCTTATCTCAGATACTTAGCACATTTATCGAAGAAGGCTTCAAGTTAATATTCGGGACTATTCCCACCTCTCGTTCCCACCACTGCAACTCCTGTGTAGCCAGGATCTACAGCTTGACCGCCACAAAAACCCAACCAATGAAGGTCATGTTTGTCCCGGGGGAAAGTTAAACGGTCATTGGACCCGCAACGAAATTAATCAGAAGAACATAGGAGGAGTTCGAAATTAAGGTTTTAGGCTAATAACATCACCCTACCGCGGAGCAGTAAATAAAAAATAATGTTGCAAAAACGGCAAATATTTTTCAAACCATTTTCACGCGTACGAAGTCGCGGGCACAGCTAGTATTGTCATATTTTTAGGAATGACGTTTTTCTGACGTCAAGCTGAGTGTTAACATTTCTGCCAAACTCATTCCTTGCTATAAAAGAGGCGGTTTAGGCAGAGGCCTACATTCTGAGTTTCTGAGTCACCTGCATCAATCAATATGAATTCCTCGCTGCTGGTAAGTTTTTTTTGTTTTATTCCACTTAGGGGGCGCCCATTAATTACTTACGTGAGACAATTTTAGCAATGTTTAACTTCAACCTTCAATCTTCAACCCTCCCGCCCCCTTTTTGCTGATTTTTATATACATACTAGCTGACCCGGCGAACTTTGTTCCGCCTTAATGGCAATAAATAAGCAGACTTTTTTTTTTNTAAAACCATAATTAGAAAACGAATAGAGGTAACTTTGGGAATTTATTCTATCGAGTCAACTTCATCAAATCGTGTTTCCATCCGTTAATAGCCCTAGAAAATATCCTCAACTATGCCCAAAAAAAATCTTAGCCTTTTATTTTACTGTTTAGTACCTCAAAAATGAAAAATGAAAACCTCATTTTCGCCATTTTCTCTGTTACCCGGCCTTAAGTTATTTAATTTATTGCGCCCCGCGCGCCGACATAGATAATATTTGGGCAATAATTAGAAGTAGTTTCCTCATCAGCCAGACAGTTTTGACAGTTCCAACTCCTTGCCAGACAGTTTTTTTAGGGTAGCTCCTAAAGCCACGATGACCCAAACTTCATGATTCACCAACATTCGTACTTATGTTGGGAGCATACGCTGACAAACTTTCAGCTTTTATAAAATGACGTAGGTCTGGCGTTCACTAGCTTTTAGTCTACTCCGCTTTAAAAACGCTTGCGATCCGCCAGTATGGCAGCTCATACTCACGTAATTAATGGACGCCCTCTTAAGGTTTGACTTCTCTCCAGTTAGCATTGTACCGATATTTGATGTTCTCTAAGGCTAAAGATAAAGATAAATATATTTATTTACATAAACATGTGTGAAAACGTATTACAAAGCAACATGATTTGGTCTTACAGTTTTAATAGGTGATAGGTACAACATGTTTTACCAAGATATTGGCATGTAAATGATAAGAACTCATGGCGCGATTTTCACACGCGCCCGCGGCGTTTGCGGGCCCGCAGCTTCTGTAGAATGCAGATACTTATGTAAAAACTAATGCACAACTCACGACGCGGTTTTCACCCGCAGCGGGCGCCCATTTTGTACCAGTGACACCGCTCTCGTGAGTTTTGAAATAAAACCGCAATTCCAAAACCGCCGCGGGCGCGGATGAAAATCGCGCCGTGAGTTCTTAGCCTTATGGTTCCCTCCGTTCTCTTGCAGTTCCTCCTCATAGTTACCATAGTCCTGGCCCTCGCAGTCGCCTCACCACAGATACCGGGCTTCGAAATCGTTGGGAACCACAGCATCTTCGATAGCGACGAGGACTTAGATGAAGCTGCAGGAAATCTCACTGCGTCGATATAGGTAGGATGTCATAGTATGTTTTTTATGTAAGACAACGATTGAGTATTGAGATATTTGACCGCAATCGCACCTGGTGTGAAGTGAGATGCAGTCTAGGATGGTACATAAATCTGCCCTGTCAGTGCCTATTCACTCTCGCCTTGATTAAATAAATATGAATATGATGAAAAGGCCCGGATTACAGTGTGCGGGAAAGACAGCAGCAGGCAGCGAATTCCAGTCCCTAGCTGTTCGCATTATAAAAGAGTTATCGAACTAAGTCAGACATGGTCGTTTCAGCCAATGACGTCCATTGGTCAAAGGCATATTGATTTCCACATGGCCCGGTTGGTAGCGACCTGCATCTGGTACTCATAATATAATATCATCATGTACATCAGGGATGTTATGGATGTCCGTACCCGTAACCGAAACTTTCGGATATCCGATATAAAAAATATCCGTAACGGATTCAAAAGATTCGGATAGTTTCGGATGTAGACAGTTTAAATTGTTTTTTGTATAGCATTATGTAATGGCATAACAGCCTGACCAACCTTTATAATGCCATCTAGTATCAATTTTTATTTTTTTATTACTTTTTATTTCGATATAAACTGTGCGGCCATGAATGAACCGTGTTAGACAACTATTGCAAATTGCATCCTAAAGAACAGATATCCGTAACCGTAACCGAAACTTTCGGATATCCGAAATAAAAAAATATCCGTAACCGTTTCCATAACCGAAACTACATATCCATAACATCCCTAATGTAGGTACCATCACATCATCATGTAGATACTGAGTAAAGCCTAGACCTATATTAACTGACATTGTTCTTTCTCCCAACAGGTGAAATCAAAGTCTAAACAAACCAAGACTTCGATAAGCACGATCGCCAAATACAACATAATAATTATGCCAGTACCTACAGAACCAAAATAGCACGAAACTACACAGTAGAAAACATTATTGTAATATGATTTTTATTTTACTTTTACAATCAACTGTTATCGTGATACTGTACAATGGATACTTTGAATAAATAAATAATCTAACACGATTTTTATTTTGCCGTTTACTAAAGCCCGGTCTGTGAGCACGTAGAATTTTGTCCAATGACCCCAAGCTACTTATCCTTATCGCTCGCGCGTAATTATATTGCTGTCGCGACTGTGCGACGCGCACCCGCAGTGAGGCCTCAGCCTCGAGTTTAGCGGGCAGCGGGGCGGGAGCGGCGGCGGCGCGGCAGCGGCAGGATCTTATGCGTGAAATCAAATAGACCGGTTCTCGAAAACAGCGGCGCGGCAGCGGCGCCGGAGCGGGCAACGAGCGGGCAGCGGCGAGGGAGCGGGTAACGAGCGGGCAGCGCACTTCTTCTTTTGCCCACAATAAATCGAGCGTTAGGAATAAATTTGAATCGAAATAAAATTGTCGCCGTTGTTCAGACATTTCGTTTGCGAATAAAAACAAATATCTCGACAACACAACCCCGAACACAACACTTCGCCGCTAAAGCGCCGCGCGAGCTGCCCGCTTGTTTCGAGAACGGGTCTGCGTTGCCCGCCCCGCTGCCGCGCCGCCGCCGCCGCCGCCCCGCTGCCCGCTAAATTCGAGGCTGAAGCTTGAGTGTGCGAGCGCGACAGCAACAATTACGCGCGAGCGATAAGGATGGGTAGCTGGGGTCATTGGACAAAATTCAACGTGCTCACGGACCAGACTATAACTGTACCCTACTTCGTACCTCACAAAAGACGTGACTGTCCCCGTAGAGCTGATTACTGTACTAGGTTTTAGAATAGAATAGAATAGGTTTATTGGCACAGTAAAAAAGACACAATACAGAAAAAAAAAACAACAAAAACACATATAATGTAGGCTATTAAAACAAAGAGGTAAAGGTGAGACAAAACTATGCCTTTATCGTGACATGCTCAAAAGGGCAAGTCACGAAACTGGTCTTCCGCGGACGCCCTTGCGTATTGCGCATGCATTGGAGAAGACACCGGCTTTTATGCTTTGGGATTACTTCCCTGGAGAACCGTCGTAAACTTATATCTCATCACTTTACAAACCCTTATTCGTGGTGGTTTGAATTGTCCCAATTACTTCAACAAATAAACCTGACTGTTCCTATCACATCCCTAGACATCCCTTGACTAGTAACTTCAACTTACCTCATTGTAGGACTAACGTGAAGTATGCTCCCCTACATCGGTGTATGCAAACATACAACGATTTAAAGGATAGGGACATCGACATCTTTCATGATTGCGTGTACTCATTTAAGAAGAAGTGTTTAGATAAGATTTATACAGAAGATTATAGAATTATACAGAAGCTCAAAGTTGCACAGCGTGCTATGGAGAGAGCTATGCTTGGTGTTTCTTTGCGAGATCGAATCAGAAATGAGGAAATCCGTAAACGAACTAAAGTCGCTGACATAGCCCGACGGGTTAGCAAGCTGAAGTGGCAATGGGCAGGGCACATAGTACGCAGAACTGACGGCCGATGGGGCAGCAAGGTTCTGGAGTGGAGGCCGCGAACAGGAAAACGCAGCGTGGGACGTCCACCCACAAGGTGAACAAACTACCTGATGGCTCTGGATGCAGGCCGCTACCAACCGGATAATCTGTAACTCTTTGGGGGAGGCTTGTGTTCAGCAGTGGACATCCTGTAGCTGAAATGATGATGATGATGGGATTTACAATTTTACGGTGACATGAATCGCTCAAATCGTTTCGGAGGAGTTTTGTTACAAATACCACAACAATAATGTTAAGTACCTACTATCGGTAACAGTGTTAACTACCCATTGCCGGTCAAATCGTCTCGTTCTATCGCAAAGAAGCACCATATGATGAGAGCGAGAGCAAAAACGGAAATGGATAGTTAACACTGTGGGCGATAGTACAGTACTTATTATTATCCTGTGATAGTACTTACATTGTATATGTACCTATATGTACTTCAAAATGTCACATTTATTGACCTTCCTAAAATGTTACACAGCTGTTTTATTTTCCGAAAATACGCAGAAACTACTGGTTTATTTTAAACTAGCTTTCCGCCCGCGGTTTCGACCGCGTGAAATTTTGTCTGTCACAGAAAAACTTTATCGCGCGCGTCCCTGTTTCAAAAACCGGGATAAAAACTATCCTATGTCCTTTCGCGGGACTCAAACTATCTCTATGCCAAATTTCATCAAAATCGGTTAAGTGGTTTAGGCGTGAAAGCAAGACAGACAGACAGAGTTACTTTCGCATTTACAATATTAGTATAGAAGTATAGATTAAGATTTGAATAGGTTAAAAAACAATGAGTAATTAGATAGATAAGATAGATAGATAAATCATTTATTTGCATACACTTAACACACATAAAGAGTAAAGTTGCAGCATAACAATAATAAGAAAAGAATAGAATACAGTAGAATACTAGTTATATAAGCATGCATAAAACAAACAAAAGCAGTAACAAGTGGAAGAATACTTCCTGCATGATGTGTGTCGCAGCGAAGCAAAAAGCAAAGAGCTCAATGTAAACACTGCCCTGAAAAGGGCAGAACACTGATTTTCAGCTCTTGCTAGGGAATCCGCGAAGCGCACGAAAACGAAATGAACCCTCCCACCATCCGCTATCAGTAAAAATGTTTAAAAAACGACTAGGGGAAATACCAATCAATATCATACTAATATTATAAAGGCGAAAGTTTTGATGTCTGGGTGTTCTTTACTCCTCCACGCAAATATTATTAGACGTAGCGTGGGTGGGCACTGGGCAGGCCTCCCACTAGGTGGACCGACGATCTGGTGAAGGTCGCGGGAGGTGTCTTGATGCGGATGGCGCAGGACCGTTCATTGTGGAAAACCTTGGAGGAGGCCTTTGTCCAGCAGTGGACGTCTTTCGGCTGAAACGAACGAACGACTAATTATTATTACCGACGGGATTGCTACCATGTACCTAATTCTGAGTTTCCGATATTTCGGCACTGTTACAATCTCGTCCGTAATAATATGTAATTATGTTAGTGACCATGAAAGTTTAAAATAATGAGTTAGTTTGTACAGTTGTACTAATCTATACTTACTAATATTATAAAGCTGAAGAGTTTGTTTGTTTGCTTGTACCTACGCGCTAATCTTAGGAAATACTGAAGGCTTATAAGTTTGATGTCAACTCACACTAAGCCCTCTTATCCGATTTATATTAGTAAAAACTCATGTATTTCTGTAAGTAGGCTTTAAAAAAGCACTTTTACACGTCCCAGTATTAACCCTACCACTCCTTCAGGACAATAAATGGGCCAGTGCTGAGAAGAAGCAGCGCAAGAAACTCAGACACTATTATGAAAAATATTTTTGTGTTGGATAGATTATTTTTGTATTTATCGAGGAAGGCTTTAGGCTAATTCCAACGCCCTACAGCAGTAAAGAAAAATGTTGCAAAAACGGGAAATATTATTCAAACTATTTTCACGCGTACAAAGTCGCGGGCACAGCTAGTATTGTCATATATTTTGGGAATGACGTTTTTCTGACGTCAAATTGCTAACATTCCTTGCTATAAAAGAGGCAGTTTTGGCAGAGGCGTACATTCTGCGTTTCTGAGTCACCTGCAAAAAACATGAACTACTCACTACTGGTAAGTTTTTTTGGTTTTATTTCACTTACAGTCACAAAATACACTGGACCGCAAAGAAAAAGAAAAACTTCAATGTCTTCAAAAGTAATTACTTGACCTAACTCTATGTATATGTAGGCCAGTAAAATTATATTTTTAAATCGGAAATAATTCCTACAAAAGATTTTATTGCTTTAATGGCTTTATTGGTGGCCAATTTTAAGATTCTCCTAGGTTTTCGACTTCGACGGAGTTGTGCTCAAGTGGTGGGGGCCTCCGAAAGGGGCGTATTTTCGGTTTTCCGGTTATACCGCGTAAAGGACTTACCCTACCGAAAAGTGGTCTTCATGAAGCTTCATTGAAGGGCATTTAATCCTGCCTTGAATAAGACCAAATTCATATGTTTTGTACAAACCGTTCTCGTGCTTATCTTCGACAAAGTAGAAAATTAAATTTTTAGCGTTTAGAGTCGCATCTCAATCATTCAATCAAATCATCGTGGGTTCAATTCCCGCCTTAGGCAGTTCGATTTTTTCAAGTTATTTATAATTTTCAAAGTAGAAAATGTACGTATAATTAATAACCTTCTCTACGTCCAATAGCTCATCACCTGCAGGCTCCCAAAAATTTTTATGTAAACTGACGCTAAAGTGGAAATTTAGAAAACCTGTGTGGACTTATGTTGATAGAATTCTTAAATACTATATTAATAGAAATATTTTCTCAACTAACTATTTAGACGATGAAATTACCTAATTATTTATGCCTATAACATATTTGTAATATAACTGTACCTCTAGTAGGAAAAACTTTCGAGTTCGTTTCGTTGCGTATTCAAAGTGTCATCGAAAAATTTTGTATGAAAAATTAAACAGCGCCTCCTAGGGCGGCTATAATATAGGGGGCGCTGTTTAATTTTTCATACAAAATTTTTCGATGACACTTTGAATACGCAACGAAACGAACTCGAAAGTTTTTCCTACTAGAGGTACTGGTTATTGATTGTATCGACTTTAAAAAGTACTGTTTTTGCGCCAAACGGCGTAAACGCTCTTAATGGGCAACCAATGAAGCCATTAAAGCAATAAAATCTTTTGTTGGAATTATTTCTGAACTCACTCTCAGTCCACTGATATACCCGCCTGTAACACTTTCCGTTCTACCACAGTTCCTCCTCATAGTTGCCGTGGTGCTGGCCCTAGCAGTCGCCTCACCACAGGAACAGCGTCCTGAGGATTATGGCGACGATGAATATTAGGCTGCTGGAAGCCTAACTGCGTTGATAGGTATGTCATTATGACGGACTGTTCCCACCTCTCGTTCCCACCGCTGCAACTCCTGTGTAGCCAGGATCTACAGCTTGACTGCCAATAACCCAACCAGTGAAGGCCAAGTTTGCCCCGGGGAAAGTTAAACTTTCATTGGATCCGCAACGAAACTAATCAGAAGCACATAGGAGTTCGAAGTTAAGGTTCGACTTCCCTCCGTTGCAAAGCGGATGACAGGTGACAAACAAAGATTTAGTAACCTATATGAAAAGATATGCAACACTGACAATAAACAAGTATGTCATAGTATGTCAAACTAAAGTTAGACATCGTCTTCTCAGCCGAATGACGTCCAATAGACAAAGCCCCCCCCCCCCAAGGATCCCCCTTAATCTGTAAATCTAGATATTAGCACGTCACTAAGTACCTTGTTTAATATACCACGCAATTTTGTATACCCATTCTTATAAGATAAACGAGAACTACAGAGAACTGCTCCTGAGTCAATAATGGACCTACTACTGCTATTTCTATTAATTTATTTATATTAACGGAAGCGCTGGTAGGGTAAAAAGATTTTGAGACATGTAGAGGCTCCTTATGAGCAGAAATATTTCACGATTTGTAATTACTTTAAAATACAAATAATGAAATTTTGACTTTGACTTTAAGGATTTCCACATGGCCCGGTTGGTAGCATCAAGTACCTTTTTTCCTGTGTACCCTTGCGCCTTGGCTGATCCCTCGATGGTACAGTGGAAAACAAATTATAACCGCTGTACCCTTGGCCGTAAAATCCAACTTAATAACTGACATTGTTCTTTCTCCCTGCAGATGGTGCAAAAGTCTAAACAAACCAAGACTTAAGTAAGCAGTACTTCGATCGTTAAATACAACATAAACTACACAGTAGAAAATATTGTACCTATATAATTTTTCATTACTTTCGTAATCAACTGTTATGGTTATACTGTACAATGGATATAATAAATAAATAAATATAAAATCTAACATAATTTTTGTTTTGCCTGCATCCAGCGCCTTCCTACCTTTATGGGTTAGATAGTAACCTATAACTTTGGTCACATTATAATCTGACGGAACTCAAAATTTTACGGTGATGGTTACACCGTGTTTTAGTGTTTTTTTTCCCGCAGTAAAGTGTGCTTCAAATTCGCACCATTGAAGCCATTAGACAGAATAATAAAATGATTCTATCTTAAAAGTACAATACATTAAGGAACTTTTTTTTAATTCAAATCAAAAAATAGTCTGTAAGATTCATTGAAGTTTATGCTTTTTTTATGTGACAGGAGGCAAAATGCTGTAGGTATTATGGTATTACTTAGTGCGGGAGCTTCTTTTACTTTAAACATGATTTCGTGATTCAGGCAGTACCCAAATACGTCACATTTTGTAAAAGAAACTATCATTTCCTACGCTTTCGAGTAGATGATTATTTTTTTGAATAGCTGCGAACATCTTTTTTTTTCCAAAAATAACTAGCACGATTCTATAGTAGGTACTACTAAAGGTAACCGCCTCTGTGGTCTAGTGGTGAGACCACCTACTTCAGACGCAGAGGTCCCAGGTTCGATTCCCAGTGGGGGCAGATTTTTCTGTTCGGTTTGGTTGGTGGTAGGCCTTATTCTAAGTCCGCCTGGCTAGCTACCACTATCTAACCTAAGTCTGTCGCCATAACAGCGATGTTAACAGCATTGTTGTGTTCCGGCAGTTAGAGGTAAGATCCAGTTCCTCCGTGGTTGAGGATTCCGGGTGAAGCTCGCTTCCACCTTCGGCCTGATCATAACTTACCATCAGGTGAGATACAGGTCAAGAGCTTCCTCGTTGTGGATAAAAAAAAGGTTTTTTTTTCCTATTAGGTAAGGTAAATCGTTCTGCCACGGGAAAACAACCACTAATATTTTACGGTGTATAACTGTGGATTGACCCCACGTGCACCTTGCACCGATCTGACCCTAGTATTTATGGGGGCCAGCGCTCAATAATGCATGGATGGCTGCCAACGCTTTATGGGGTCCAGACGGTCGTATAGACGTGACAACATGTTTCAACTCGAATTCAGAGTCCAGAACAAAACTTAATTCAGCTAAATTCAATTTCAAGAATAACTTGGAGTTAATTAATTCAACTAAGAGTAGGCGCACACCGTTGATTTTAGTTGGCCGATAGTTGTGCCCGATTTTAATTTGTATGAAGAATCGGCCAAATCGAATCGGCGTAGTGTGCGCACTCCCATACAAGCCCATACTGATCAACTGCCCGACTAAACTATCGGCCGACGAAAAATCAACGGTGTGCGCCTACTCTAAATGTGCCCGCGACTTCGTACGCGTGAAAATTGTGATTATTATTTCCCGTTTTTGCAACATTTTTCTTTTGCTCCGCCCCTATTGGTTGTAGAGTGATGTTAGCCTAAAGCCTTTCTCGATAAATGAGCTATCCAACACAAAAATAATATTTCAAATCGGATCAGTAGTTATCTTATTTAGTTCCTGAGATTAGCGCGTTCAAGCAAACCAACTCTTCTGCTTGATAATAACTAGCTTTCCGCCCGCGGCTTCGCCCGCGTCGAATTTTGTCTGTCACAGAAAAACATTATCGCGCGCGTCCCTGTTTCAAAAACCGGGATAAAAACTATCCTATGTCCTTTCCCGGGACTCAAACTATCTCTATGCCAAATTTCATCAGAATCGGTTCAGTGGTTTAGGCGTGAAAGCGATACAGAGAGACAGACAGAGTAGAAGTAAAAATTCTAATCTCAGTAGGTTTGTCCGTATGTACAACACTGAAAACCAGACAACGCGACGAAATTTCAAAATCAATTGATTTTTAAATTCACATTATTAAACATTGAAAATCATCATCATCATCTCAGCCATAGGACGTCCACTGCTGAACATAGGCCTCCCCCAATGCTTTCCATGTTGCTCTCGCCCTGTCCAGCGCCTTCCTGCTACCTTTATGATGTCGTCGGTCCACCTTGTGTGAAGTGGCAAAGGGCAGGGCACATAGTACGCAGAACTGACGGCCGATTGGGCAGCAAGGTTCTGGAGTGGAGGCCGCGTACCGGAAAACGTAGCGTGTGACGTCCATTGAAAATACCAAATCACAAATGTTAAAGTATATTATTTAAGAAGCGTGTGGCTTATTTTACAAGACAATTGATACCGAAAGACGTCCAAAACCTAACTAAATAATTTATAAGTTGTCACAATAATCCCCTCCCCCTTCATAATACTTTAAGCCCCGAAAAATGTGGTAGTGATGTACGCAAACTCTATCGATACTTGATCGCGGTAATTAGTGCAGTGCATTATCGACATTATGACGGCGAGACTGCACTTTGCGGGGACGATTAGGCCAGGGATGTGAGAGGGTTGGTTTTGTCGATAAAGTTTTGGGAAATTATGCAAATTAGAACGTTTTTTTTAATATTTTTACAATGTAAAAGGTTTTTACGATAGTTCAACAATTTTTCCTATTGTTTTGGCACTAATTAAATTTTGTTACTAATTAAATTATGTATTATTAATTAAATTCTATTAACACTAAAAGTTATTAATTAAAAACCAAAATGTAATTTATTAATTTTTAATGTTATAAATATAATGTTAACAATATTTGCATGCCAGCTTCTGGTGGACTGTGCGGACATCTTAATATTGTAAGAACTTGTAGACCACTTTTCACGCAAATAAACTGATTTGATTTTGATTTTTGATTTGTTGTTTGGTGGGAAAATTAACAGCAAATGTCTTCATTGGGCGATTTCATTTATTGATTGGGTTTTATATCCCAGATATGACGTGTTTATTCAATGAGCTTCCATTCATCTCTATCTCGTACATGAACGACGCTTGAAACATTCAAACTCAAAAATAAGTTCTCTCGAGTGTTTTTTTTTATCAAGCATTGAATCACTTAATGCTGCTATAAAGCAGACAAAAAACTCGAGTGTATTCTTAACACATTATTTTTACAAGAAAACACTAAAAATTCCTATGGTACCTTGTCAAGATTGATATTTAATTAGGTATCACCTACGTAATGAATGAATGAATTTGATTATTGATGAGATGACGAGATGATTGTGTTTTCTGACACCAAACCTTTGCATGCCTCATAGGGTTCATATCCATCAAAATATCATTAGAAAATGCAAATTCATTAATCTTTATTTTTTAAGCATAGGTAAAATTGTGACATTATGGCTGTAAAAAGTAATAGTAGTATTTAATATGTTCTGCTCAAATAGCATACAATTTGTCAGACATCGATACATTTTTACCGCCGGCGCGCGTCACATCACTACTAGGCAGCAATGCAATAATTTTCGTACAAAATACAGCACTTACCTCGCAGGATACTTTCGATACTCCGCTCGCAAACATTTGTATACAGGGTGTTTTGAAGACTTTTATACGTTTTAAATGAGGAAGAAAGGTAGAGAGAATTACTTAAACTATAGTTGTTTTACATTTTACGATAGTTGTTACGGTCTCAAGCAAATAAACGAGGTTTCATCATCATCATTTCAGCTACAGGACGTCCACTGCTGAACATAGGCCTCCCCCAATTATTTCCAGATCGCCCAGTTGATAGCGGCCTGAATCCAGCGCCTTCCTGCTACTTTTATGAGGTCGTTGGTCCACTTTGTGGGTGATATGAGATTTACTTTAAAGATAAATTGAAGCTAAATTTTGCAAAAACGAGATCGGTCATGAAAATAGAAACTATTAAAAATATCGAGACACACAAAATTAATTTTATTGTTTAAGGCTCACAGATGAGTCGCGTGGTATTCATGTGTTAAAATAAACTATCCTTAACGCGAATTCTCTTTCGCGAAAAAAATCTAGAGCGTGAGCAAGAAATAAATACGATGAATATTTCCCGCTTCAAAAACTACTATGACAAAGATTTGTTGCTTAAACTCGTTTACTTAGGCCCAGAACAGACGGTGAAACGCAACTGCAACGAAACTGCAACTTTCTGATGATTCTTATGAATGAAACTGAAACTGAAAGTTTCAAACTGGTCGCGTCATGTGTGGTCTCTCAACGGACGCTATGGCAGAAACTTAGATGCAACTCAAAAGTAACTAGCAGTTGCAGTTTCGTTGCAGTAGCGTTTCACCGTCTGTTCTGGGCCTTAAAGCTTCTCAAAAAGTATTTCCGGTTGACAAAACCATCACACCCTGTATATACCGTAATGAGCGAGCACGTACAGTCAGGATGTATATTTAAATTGATATCGGTACACTCAGCCTCGCACGCTAGAAGCTGTATCCAGCTAAAACATTCAGGTAAAAGTGGGGCCAAGTTGCTAGAATATTTACATATTCATGTGGTTCACTTTGCATTCGAGAAATTTGTTGGGTGCTCTAAAATGTGTTTTCTCCCAAAATTTTAAACATCACCATATTTTATTTCTGTTGAACGACTTGTCGACCTTGTCGTGCAGGGGAAGGTTGAGGGCACAAGCGCCACGCGCGGCAGGCCACTCTTGCGCTGGACTGACCAGCTCAAAACCGCACTCAATGGTCCACTCCACAAGTGCACAAGAAAGGCTGCAGTGTGGGAGAAATGGCGACGGATTGTGAGGCTTGCCACCAAACAAGGTGTGACGATCACGACCACTCTGGCAAGAGTGTCGCGACGAAGACGAAGATTTTATTAACTTTCTTTCTTTTCTTGTCTTATGTGGTGTACCTACAATAAAGTGTGTTATATCTATTAATCTATTAGATTTTTTCTGTCGACAAGTTTATTTTCTTTGAATTTACCTGTAAAGGCATAATATCTTTTAGATTCTAGCATTCTTTTAAATAAAATTAGCATGATCATCATCATCATTTCCGTCGCCGAACATCGGCTTCCCTCAATGATTTCCATATAGACCGGTTGGTAGCGGCCTGCATCCAGCGCCTTCCCGTTACCTTTGTGAGGTCG